AGCAAATGAATGCCTCGTTCCCAAAATCTCATGTTAAGTGCTCCAACTGAACAGGGCAGTGATGAAGAATACTAATTGAAACTAATCTACAGATACTAAAAATATCTGTATCAATACAATGCTATAAATACCATATGTTTCTGCAAACACTGTGAAAACGTACAGCATAATTAGATATTGGAAAGAAGCAACTCATCCAATAGAGTAATTTAAAGCTAATATTCTTTTAACTGCTACTATCCTTGGAATAGCCACTTACAAAAAAATGATGGGCAAAGGCACAAGAATAACTTTTTCATTAAAAGTCATCATACATTAATGTGAAGAATAAACACGAAACATTTCATTCTTGTTTTAAACCTAATAACTACATTTAAGCCTCCTACAAAACTAAAAATTGTTATACACCTAAGTGTAAAAACAAGTCAGCACCCTCCTATGGCAGATTTGATACAATGGCACAAAAAAACAAAAGAAGGGGGAGAAAAAGTTCCAGGAATGCCTTTTTTCTCCATGCCCCTGTAAGTCATAATTTGATGGATGTCAGCTCTGATGTTTTATGTCAACTGTTCAGTACAGTAGTTGACAACTAGAGTAAGAAAACTCTCATGACAGGATGATTTACTCATTCAAGTCTCTGAAACACCAACATGAATATCTGACACAACAGAGAGACAATACTGCTCTACAAACTGTAACTTCAGTCCCACAAATTATGGTCAAAGGAAATAGCACAGTACACCAGTTTATAATCAATTAGAATAAAGCATCCAAGGCATTTTACTAGACAATAAAAATCAGCTACCTACCAATATTATTTGCAGGTCTGGTATTTTTCATTTCAATATGAAATATGTATACACTCCTTTTATTGCTCACTCATTCTCTCATATGCTCTCTACCAGACATGTGGGCAGCTTCTACCATCCTCCTTAACATTACTACTCTTATGCACAGAACCAACTTCAGATTGGTCTGTTAACTCAGTATCACATCTTCCCGCAAAGCTCCTCTAAGCTGACACCTATCACGACAACTGAAAGACTACTGTCAGCTAACATGTGGTAAGGACTGCTGACACTGACTTAATTCAGCCACTTGAAAAAGCCTCTAGCCCAAAGCAAAAAACTTGTCCTGCACTGAAGATGGTAGCACAACCTCCTAGACCTTTAATCTAATGCTAACTCCTAACTTATTTTTACTAAACAGACATTATGCCAAATAATTTAACAGAACAGAGATTAATTGTTCTGTTTCACTATAGTTTTAATTTAGGTCATACTCTCACCAAGAGACTACATCATAAGTATTCATTATTTAAAAGGATGCATTCCATAAAAAAATCCAAGTTCAGAAATGCAAAAATCTCTTCCTTACATAGCAAACAGAGATGTGTTTTGATTCAAACATTCCACAGCAGTGACAAATTATAGAACACAAAAATATGCTAACATAAATAAGCCAAAGTAAAGCTGACTAGTGCATTTTCACACACTGCAACATAGCACCCAAATAGAAATGCTTAATACTTCCAGTCTAATTCACATATATAGAGTATAGCTCAAAAACTACCTGTGTAAGTCTCTAACAGATCCATCTATTTAACCTCACTTAAACTGAGAAATGATAATTTAAAGATTGTGAAGACAAAAACTATTTGATATAACGAATCTAACTTTTTTTTCTCATTTAAGGGTAACATGAAAGTTGTAACCACAAACTATTTCAAAAACATGGAGTAGTTAGTAAGTGCACTGTGGGAAAAAAAAAATGCAGAAGTATTAGAATATGAGAGAACAAGTATTCAAGAATGACAAAACTAGGAATGTCTGAGGAGCTAAACACATTCTCTTTTTCTCTGAATACAGAGAAATTAAAAAGAACAGGCCAAATTCTATGAGATCTGGGAACCTTACAAGCAATATATGTAACAAGAAGCAGATAATCTGCACACAGAATAATAGAATAAATATGCTGTGGATAACATTAAATGACAGCTCAGAGAGAACAATTAGATAAGTACAGATAATGAACTAAGAGGGGCAAAGAGTACCTGAGCTCAAACAAAAAAAAAAAAAAGTTTCTTATCTGCGTAAGTATAATAAGCATATTAACACAGAGAGGTAGCTGTGTGCATGCTATTCTATAGCTCAGTTTGCTGAGCAGCTAAGAATTAAATGGCCACAAGTGCACTGTTTAGGCAGAAAGAAATTCCAAACAGAATATTAGTGAGAAAACAAATTCCAGACAGAATAATGCAAGATATAATCTGAAATGCTGTTTACAACTGACTTGCCAAGAATTTTAGAGAGAAGAATATCAAGTAGTTAGTAGTTCCTTCCTTCTGTGGGAAAGAAATCCCACTGAGTATGGTATTTAAAAACTAAGACCTTGACAGAAACATTAAAAAAGCAGAAGGCCTACACACAACTAACAAAAGATCAGTAACTGGTGCTAAAATGAAGCAAGACTACAAAAATTCTGAGAATAAGGAAGGTGATGTTTTCTGCTCACAGATATGAGTAACTAGACACATGGCTGTTGTCTAGCAAACTAAGGAAGCTGTTCAAAAGATTCTTACTGATGATTCTACTCACTACACAGAAATGCCCAAGGTGTACTGTTAAGGAGAGATTATACAAGCATATCACAGAGGCAGCTAAAAAGAAATAACTATTTCACTGTCTGACTTCTGACATTAACCTTTTGCAAAATAACACATTGTAAACTGATATACTGCTGTGCCATAGTAAAAGTGCTGGGAAGTAACATTTTGGCACACCATTTGCTGTCATCCTGCTCTAAAATAAAAGACATCCTATAGCTACAACTTCTTGCTATGACAGTCAGACATTATCCTCCATAAAAGCAGTATTACAGAATTATACAGAAATATGAGGTATTAACTTACCTTTATTTCCCTGTCCTTTAGGTCTCTGTATATAGGAAAGTGGGGGGAGAGGGGGGAAGCAAAACAAGTTCAGTTAGAATCCTCTAATAGCAACTTCAATTTAATTCTATTTATTTGCCAATTCTGCCCTTTTCAACTTAAATATCATTTCAAAATATTACTAAACCATGCTAAATTAAAATGTTGTGACATTACTTAAAGTAACATTATAAAATACTACAAAACCAAAACCAGTTAGAATTTTATTAAAACATTGAAATAATCTATGATTTAACAGCATGTGAAGCTTAGATGGTACTGAAAAGCTGAACAAGTGAATTTTAATTGCCCCTGGGCCTGAAAAAAAACATAAGCAATAACCAAAAGTAACAGAGAGTTAAAAAAAACCCTAAGATTACTGCCAATACACAAATTTCATTATGATGGGTCATCTTTTAAACTGACTGACAGGTACTTGTCAGAGAATAATAATGCCTTGCTTTTTAGATATACAAAGCAATAGGGAGTTGTATCATATGCTGAACTTCAAGTTGTGCACTCCTCACCTAGGCAATTATACTGAGAAAATTATACAGCCTGTATGTACAAAGCTTTCACACAAGGAAATAATTCCTTAAGGAGGATTTTTTTTTTTTTTTTTTAGGATTAGTCATTACAAAACACTGTTAATCTGTCATGCACTAAGAATCAAAGTAACATTATAAGTTACAGTATCCTTAAAGCCTCTACAGCAAGATAAAATAACTTGGAAAAACAAATACTAGTCCATGAAAATCTAATTCACCTTCTCATATTACTTTCAACTAAGCAGGAGTGGGTCTCCAGGTTCCACCACTCTCTTAACAATTTTTAGTCTTAAAGAGCTCAGTATTCAGAGGGTTGAAAGTTTAGGAGGTAACCAGCTCCAAGTTACTTTCATGTGCATTTGTCTCAGTTACCATAACACTGTTCAACGCTGCTTGATCTAGAGATGCACTGGTTAGACACTGCCCTCTCCCAAAACGGGAAAAATCTCTGTAACCTGAAAAACCTCAACCACCTCATCTTTTGGGATAAATCTAATCCAGACACAAAGGCATGCAAAGGCCAGCAAGAGACACAGAATTAGAAAAAGTTGGGAAGAAGCAGCCTTTATGAAAGACAGAACAATGAAAAGCTAAGAGATCACTGAGCTAGAAATAAATGCTTAAAAGAAACTGGAGAGCATGCACAGAGACAAAAGAAACAAAACATTAAAGGCACAGAGAGAAAATAAAAGGAGGCAAGAGACTGCAGGGCCAAAACTTTTGGGGAGTGGCAGAAACCCACGGACGAAGCAGAGATCAAGACAGAATAGCTTCCAGCCAGAAAGAAGGACAAGCAGAGGCCTAGCAAAGGTAAAAAAATAACAGATTCTAAGCTCCGTGAAGGACCAAGTTTTAAAAAGTGCTGTATAGCGCAAGGAGAAAAACTGAGAACTGCTGCAAAAAGCGAAGGCCGGGAGAAAAGGAGAAGCCAGAGGCCCGAAGGGAGAAACGGTGGGCGAGAAGAGCGAAAGGCAGGAAGAGAAAGGATGCGGTAACGAGGAGCCTGGGGGAGTTTGGGGCGCGCAAGGAGAGGAGACGGCGCTAGGCGCCGCGGGGAGCCCGGCTCTACGGCGTTCCCGGAGCGAAGAACCGGGAGCCCGGGGGCCGGGAAGGGCCGGCTCCCGAGTAGGTCACACACAAAGGGGGCCGCGGGCGGGGGCCGGGCCGGCAGCCCTCGGGGCTGAGGGCGGCGGGCGCTGCGGGCGGGCGGGGAGGCGGAGCGCTCCGGCGCGGATCAGCGGTTATAAATAGGGGCGGCCGGGCCGGGAAAGAGGCCCGCCATCCCGGCTGCGACGGACAGCCGCTCCCCATGGCGGCGGCGAGGGAAGGAGGGAGGAAAGGAAGAAGGGAAGGAGGAGGCCGCGAACCGCGCCGCCCCGGCGGCGAGGGAAGGTGCAGGTGGCCGCCCTGCCGCCGCCCTCCCCCGCCGGGGGTAACGACGGGGCCGGAAAGAGGGAAGGGGAGAGAGCGGGCGGCCGCCCCCCCCGCCCCGCGGGCGGTACCTGGTCGACGCTGGTGGCTGACATTCTTCACGGGGAGCCGCGATCCCCTCGCTTCGCTCCGCCTGGGCCTCGAGTGATTCCGCACGCCGGGGCCGCTCGCTCGCCTCCGCCTCCTCCTCCCCACCGCCGCCGCCGCCTGATTGTCGCCGCCGCCGCCTGGGCTCGCTGCCGCCGCCGATCGGGTTCCCACTGGAAGGAGCCGGCCGGCCGGACGCAGCGCCGCTTCCCCCCCTTGCTCTGGGCTCCGCTTCCCCACAATGGCGGACGAGGCTCCGGCTCCCACTTCCGCTCCGCGCCGCCCTGACCTTCCGCTCCCCCCGCCGCCGGCGTCGCCGCTGACCTTTCCCTTCCCGTCCCCGCCTCCTCCATGTCACGTGGGGCGCCAAACCGCGCCGCGCGCGCGCGCCCTCCCGCCGCCCAGCGGCTCCAGCGGCGCTGGGGGGCGGGGCCTGCGGCGGGGGCGCGAGTGCGCGTGCGCGCGGCGGTAGGCGGTAGGCGGAAGGGGCTGCGGCAGTTCCCGCTCCTGGTGTCCTGGGAGTGCGCGTGCGGCTCGGGAATGCCCGGGAACGGGGCGATGGAAAACGTGGGGGATTCTCTCCGCTCCACCGCGCCTGTGCCGGGGACCTGCTGGGGCAGGGCGGTGTGGCGAGGGCGACGGGCAGCCGGCCGCGGGGCCGTGAGGCGACCCGGCCTTGGCTGCCCAGAGCGGCTGTTGCTGCCTGCGGAGGGCTCGGGCGGCCTTTCCGCGGTCGCTCCTGTCGCCCATCCTCTCCTGGGTCACAGAATCACTGGATAGGTCAGGTCGGAAGGGACCACAATGGAGCGTGTGTTCCAACCTCCCTGCTCAGGCAGGGTCATCTCAGTGCACATGGCACAGCATTGTATCCATACTGTTCTGGAATGTCTTCAGGGAGAGCAGTCTGTTCCAGTGCATGGTCACCTACACAGTAAAGAGATTGATATTCAAGTGGAACTTCTGTGTCTTGATTCCTGTCAGTTGCCTCGTGTCCTGTTACTTGGCATTGCCATGAAGAGCTTGGATCCATCCTCTTGACACCCTCCCTTGAGTTACTTGTACACCTTGATGAGGCCCGTCTCAGACATCTGAACAGGCTCAGCCTCCTCAGCCTTTCCTCATGAGAGAGATGCTCCAGACCCTTGAAGCAACTCTGGTGCTCTCCACTGGAGCTGCTCCAGGAACTCCATGGCTCTGGCCCTGTGCAGCCCAGAACAGCACACAGCACTCCCGGGGCTGCTGGCAGCTCCACAGCAGGCTGTAAGCAGGGTTCAGGGCACTGGGCTGTGTGCACTGGCTGAGCTCATGGGTGACAGCGCCTGCTCACAACCCTTGCAAGCTCACCCACTCTGCTCTGCTCTTGCCCACCTACCTTGGCTGTCGTGTACGTTTGGTGCCAGAACAAACGATGCTTCACCAAATCCAGTTTTTTTTACCCAGCTGCTTTCAACTCTATTGCTAATGAATTACTTATTATATTACTTATATTATTTTATTATTTATTTGTTATTATTTATTATTATATTACTTATTATATTACTTAATTGATGGGAAAAGTTCAGCAATTGTGTAGGGGCTTCCTGCAGCAGCCACCAGTAAATTCCAAGACCACTTCAACAATGTTCCAGGGGGGAATTAAGTATTTATAAACTTGAATCAGAAAAGTCAGCATTGTAATTAATATGCTGCTTCAAGTCTGAAGGCGAGAATGCCTTAAATCCAATACGATTGTCAGGGCAATGGGGACAGCATCCCTCATGACACTGAGTCAAAGTCCCTTTTAAAATTTGGTGCATGTGTTTTTTCTTCTCAAATTAAAGTGTTCTTGTTCTGTTTTGGGAATTTTTTTTAATAATTGCACAAAGTGATCTTGGGGAAATAATACTTCTGGATGAAGAGTCAGTTTATAGTGGCAAATCATTTCTTAAAATTGTCAGAAAGTGAACATTATACTGGAAGTTACCCAGAGTTTGTGTATGTAGGAGTTGCAGAATGCTCATTTACTCCGTTGCAGCGCACTATGTAATTTTACCCACTACCCATGAAGGAACACCTGGCAGTACAGAGGGAAGCAACAAGGATGGTGTAGGTCTGGATGTGGGAAATAGGTTCTAAAAGAAAAGACTGAAAGAAATGGCCTTGGCCATTCTTTGGCCTTGGCCAAGAAGAATTGAGGCTATGATATCATAGGAAGAAAGTAATCAAATATTTTTATGCATTTAAAACATCAAGGACAAGGACAAAATATCATGGATTTAAATTGGAGCTGGCAAGGTTAAAGTTGATCTTTTATGATGCCTGGAAGAACTAGTTGACCTTTAGTAGATCTGCAAATTTAACTTTGGATAAGACCCTTGAAACAATATCCACAAGTAAGACTGCACTCATGTCTCTAGTACAACTGTTAAAAAGCAGGTGGAACCCTTAGATTCAGTCATTCAAACCATATTTCTTTCTCTTTTTTATAGTTTTTCTAATCCATAGACAGGTGTGGCATGGGGGGATTTTCACTTCTTAGTGAAGTGTTTTAACGTGCATATAAAAAGATTGAATAGGCAGAAGAAAAGTAAAAGTGAGCCAAACAGCACAGGCTCTGGAAGGAGTGCCCACATTAGACAGTGTCATTACTCATAGTCTAGGCATTCATTTCTGCCTTTGGTTTGTTGGGGTTTTTTGTTTGTTTGTTTTCCTGGCATCTTCTGTCCTTGTTTCATTTAGCCACAGTGAAATAACTTCAGCCTTGGAATGCATTTTGGCGTGATGACGATAATACTACCAAGAGAAATGTGGGTGCTATTCTCTTCCCAGTGATGAGAGAATTCAGATCTCAGCATTTCTTAGGTCATCGGGACTACTGGCCATGGGTACATCCCTCCAAGTTATATGGTGAATATTGCACTGAAAATTCCAGTTGCAGTCTTAGAGACCTCAAATTTGACATCAGTAATACTCAAAATGAATCAGCCACAGAACTCCATTAGGGAATCTGGTCCAGTGAAACAACAGCCTTTCAACCATCTGGTTCATAGCAAATTGCCAGTTTTCAAGATTTTATCCTGTGATCCAGGATATGTGGCTTAATCCTATATTTTTTGAATAATAAAATAATATTAAAAAGCCAGTGTTTCAGATGGTTTTGGCCCTCCTGATTAGACAAAGAAGTCTGGAAGGAAAGCAGCCAAAAACTTTAAAAATGGACATCAGGAAAGGCGAACTCAAATTTTTTACTTAACGTGTCATTGGTTTTGACCCAAGGCCATTTATTTTATGAGACTGACGGTTGTTTTTGATTATTTGGAGTTTTAAATGGTGTTTCTTTTGTAGAAGTATTGTATTGCCCCTGAGATAGTGCTGGCCCCTGGTGACTTAATAACATCTATTTAGTTAAATATGCAGTGTAATAGGGGAATAAATAAATGCACTATATTTTTTATTCACTTTATCGTGGTTGCTGTAATTTGTATGACAAAAATCCAATGTGCTGCAAATATTTCCAGTTTTTGAATGTTGGTGTCTGTGCTTGCAAGTGGTTCTACATTGCTCCTCCTTATCTATACCATTAGGAATGTGGTAGAGTGAAAATTATCCTTAAAGAAACTGCAAGTTCAGCAGGATTCCAGTCTGCACTGCAAGCTTAGGCTCAAATGAACCTTTTTGATGGGGAATAATGCAAGCCTCTGAGGACTTGCTGGAATGCACTGTGGCAATTAGTTCTGTAATATTATAGTTCAAGTTCCGGCCTTATGTGGCTCTGGAGACTTTGGAAATATATACAGTTCATTTTTCAAAATGCTTTTAGGCCTCTTTTTTATCCCCTCTAATTTTCCATCGTCCACTAGTTAACGTTCAGGAATATTGTTTGTGATCTGAACTATGATGGTTTGATTCCACCGCCCTTTGCCATCAGATTATCGTACTGAGGGTCTGCGTCATCTGTGTGCATGACTTGCAGAGTTGGTGCCAATGGAGCCATTTCTAGGCCACTCTGCTGGCAGTTTTCTGAATTGACTTAATTGGACAGGGATTGCCAACCAACAGGAATATTCTCGTCAGGACTCCATTTCCTCGTGGTTCTTTGAAGTGCATATCAAATGGACGTGCTCATGACCCTGGAAAGGGCTTGGGGCCCTTCTAGAAATGTAGCTCTAGACTGCAACAGTGATCAGGAGGAGGACAGTTTTCTTTTGTTTAACCTTGAAATCAGTAGGTCCTAATCAAAGTCTTCCCTGTGACATTCAGCAAAACCTTTTGGATTTTCCCATTATTGCTTTTAGCATAGTTATTGTGGCAGCTTAAAGGCAAACTTTAAGGGTGACTCTGTTCACCATTTTGAGATACCTTTTTCCATTTAGCTTCACTGGACAAAACCAGAAGAACATACATATTTTTAAAAGTCAGGAAAACTTTATGGTAACAATTTCTTTGGGAATGATTGAGATTTAATACACAAGTTCTGAAGTGCTCAGAAAATGCAGTGAAGTTTCTCTTCTCAACCATTAAAATGCAAAAAAACCCACCATGATTTTCTCATACATATCCACTGGACTGTAAAACAGGTGCTTTGTCAAGTCTTGGCTACACACAGAAAGTGGCTCCAAGAACCTTAAAAACTAATACTAAACAAGAGACAAACTGCAAATAGCCTGCTGCCTCTGTTTCTCAGTGTAGCCAAACTGTAGCTGAAAGAATTAATTTCAAAAGAAAATATTTGTTAAATAAGTAGAAAATACATGCTACTAGTATTCTTCTGTTTCTCCTGTCTCAAAAAATATAAAAAATACATCAGTGCACTATGACCTAGTCTTGGTGATAGACCATCTCCAAACAGCAAGCTGGACTATGTAGCCTTCAGATATCCCCACTAACCAATACTTTTATTATTTTCTGTGATTGAGAGAACCTGTGAATGATTCATGAGACAAAGTCAAAGCCCAGGTGTTGGTGACTGCTGATGAACATGCCTTCCAGAATGTCCGAGTTATTAGCACTTGTCCAGCTGCCCCTTGGCTTTAGCTGTGGTCAAGAGATTGGGATGCTCAACTTCATCTGGCATAAAGGATGATTGGATTAATGAAAGTCCTAAAAACATAGGTTATAAAGGAGTGACAAACAGAACTCAGCTGCAGATAATTTCCCTCTGTGTGTGACTTAATAGTTCTGAGCTGTAAAATATAGCAGTAAATAAAAACTGTCATATATCATTTACTCACTAGTTATTAGACAACTACCTGTCCTGCCTCCTGTGAGAAATTAATTTCTATGTTGAAGTTCAGGGCAGGTCCCAGATTTCATCAAGCATTCTTTTACAAGCTTTGAACAGGTCTGAATTTACAGTAGCATCTACAAAACTATTTCAAAATATGCATCAGGCATTCTGATTCTGATTTTGATCATAAAAGCGTGATAAAGTTATACAGTATGTTAATGTTGTTGATGC